TATATATATATATATATATATATATATATAATGATAAATGCGCTCGAGAAAATGGAACCACTCACTTTCGCCATTATCGCAGCAGCAGCTACGTTCACTACGGGAGCGTTGCTTCATGAAATTCAATCGAATTTAGTTTATCCTGCAAAACATAGGAAAGAAGCTCATCATGGAGTAAATTTTAAAATAATTGAATACTTTTAAATGGAATCATTGATTTATGAAGTTTTTAATTAGGTGGCTCCTCTGATTTCGGAAGATGGAATTCCATTCAGGGAAGCTACATTGATAACGGATGACAATGTTAAAATTCGAGCATATGTTTGCAAACCTATTAATGAGGAAGAAGCTCGAAAAAGACCAACAATATTAGTTTTGCATGTACGTAAAGTTTAACATTACTAATCTTACTGATATATTATTAATTAAATTCATTTATAATTTTATTAATTTTATAGGGAAATCGCGGAAATACAGTTTAGTATCTTTACGTGATATGATAGAACTTTTGAGACATGTATAAATTAATCGTAAATTTTATCATCATTAATGTTAATAGGGTTATCAATCTAAAGCCATTTCTAAATTTTACCATGAATTAAAATGCAATGTTGTTTTACCTTCTTATAGAGGGTAAAAATAAACATTTTTCTTACGATTTGTGTTATTATTCGAGCCAATTTTTTCATTCTCTTAATATTTATTTGTAGATACGATCGTAGCGAAGGTAAACCTACTGAAGCAGGCATCAAGATTGATGCACAGGTAAGAAATATATACAATGCGCAGAGCGGGACATCATAAATTAACACCCTTTATATAAACGCTGCCTATATATTACACAAAACAATTGGAAAACTTTAAATTGTAGCTCTATTGATACAAAATATTTTTGCCAAAATACTTTTTTAATTAAATTTAATTTGAATTACTAATTTGAGTTGTCAGCTATGCTGTCCCGCACAATATATATATGGTTAATACCATATGTGCCCGTTGAATCTAATTGAATCTAAAATTTCCTTTTTTCATATATAATTAGACCTTCTTAGACTACATAAAAAAACATACCGTGCTAAGGGACACGAAACTAATCGTTTATGGACGATCACTAGGTGGAGCAGTGGGTATTGATCTGGTTTCAAAGAATGAAGACAAGGTACCATCCCAAATGTTGTGTTACGTATTTTGATCAAATTAATTAAATTGAGTTTCATTTCTTAATAAACAAAATAGATTGA